TTAGGTACTAGTACTTATTTTATGGACACAATTACCTATCATTAGCTAAAAAGTAATATTCATAGCTACTGAACACCTATTACTAATATCTAACGAATACTAGTGATATAAAACTAGTATTTAATAAGTGTGAGTACCTAATAAGTGCTAGTATATAATAATTGCTACTATGTAATAACATGAACTAGTATGCTAATAATAAGTTAAATGATCTAAGTTAAATAATGATAGGGGTGTAACAATACACTTTGGTACACTACGATAGTGTTGTTGTATTTGTGGAGCGCCTAACTAATGGAGTAACAGTAAAGCGAATAGAAAAAAAACTGTTTGCGTGTCTAGAAAAACTAAAAGAATAGTAGGGTAGTGGTATGAATGCAATTTAGACGTACTGCTTTCAATATGTTGTCACAATGTTGGCAGCTGTAACAAATTTGAACCCCTTTCATACTACACGCAGTAATACTATACAGAACATATTTTTTATTGGTTGGGAATATGTTTACATTCAAACGTAGAACCTACGCGAGTTGCCAGCCTGATCTCACGAGAAAACGTAAGTATTTTACGTTTTGCCAGTTTAGTGGCTAATTCGTACGAATTCAGTCGTACGAAATTGTACGGTTTTAAAAAGGAGGCGTGGCACCAAACCCCACCCCTAAACCCAACCGTCATTGAGGGTTGAGCAAGTTGTACTAAATTGTACGAATTAGATTGTTCGAATTCATACGAAATAGCCACTAAATCAAAAAGTTACGAATTGCCGTGAGATTGCGTTGGAGTAGTTGTAGTAGCAGTGTCTATAATAATATATAATGATGATAATAAGTGCCATTAACTCATCAATTTGCAACTAATTAACTAGTAAATATGTGCTGGATAAATAGAAATTAGTAAATAGGTGCTATTAACTAAAAAATAAGCACTACTATCTCAAAAATAGCATGAAAATGCACACTAGGAAAGTTTATATCAGGGGTGCCCAAACTCAGTCCTGGAGGTCCGGTGTCCTGCAAAGTTTAGTTCCAACCGCAGGCTAGCTAGTCAAGCTCTTACTAGGCTTTCAAGAAACATCCGTGCAGGTGTGTTGAGACAAGTTGGAGCTAAAATCTGCAGGACACAAGCCCTCCAGAACTGAGTTTGGGCCCTGGTTTATATATTGGCATATATAAGCTTGCCATATTTGGACTTTGAGCACCAGAGGCACTTTACCACACTACAGTATATAAGCACTCATGATTTATTGAACATGTATAGGGAACTTTGGTTTAAAGAAAATGGGCACAGTGGACATATTTAAGATTTGTTTCACCTACAGGCTAATTCCCCATATCTGCAGGACATAGTGATTTTGGATTCATAAAAGCTTCCAAAGTACTTAAAAATGAAATGAAAATGAGATAAGAAAAGTCAAGTGGTTCTTGATAAGCCACCGTAGTGTGATAATGATCCAAAACATACACATAAATCAAATGCTATGATTTGGAACAAGCTGCCTGAGAAGAAATGAAGTTATGAGAACCGTCCGGGTGTGACGATGCGTTCAAATTAAAAAGCACATATCGATTCGACACGACATCCTGGCAGTGGCTGAGATATATAAATTTTAAGATCTACTTTCACATCTTGTTCTTCTGTAGTGCTAAATTAAAGTACAACTAATTCACGGGAACAGAAATGCACCATTAAAAAAGCCTTCAGGTTTCAGTTCTGTTCACTAATTTTCGGCTGCTTGAGGAAACACTCTTCCTGCTCTTGGATTCAAGGTTTGGGACCGATTGTCCTTTTGAGTACAAAATATCTCGCTAAGAAGCGTAACAGCGACATTTTCTGCACTTTTTTAGCAGCAGTTCAGGAAATGGGAGTGAAAGTGCATCTCAAGGGACAGCCATCTTGACAGTATCTGCTTCCACAAGAAAACAACAAGAACTGTCGAAAATATAGAAAATAAGAAAACAAATCTATAAAAACACGCATACAAACATCTATCAGAAAGTATACAAAATGTGTTCTTGTAGATAATTAAATACACGTAAATCAGTTTTATATATTACACATCTTTAAGCACACATTCTGTGTGTATAGTCTTATACATTTTGTATATGTATATATATATATATATATATATTTCTATATATATGTATAGGTATGCACAAGAAATGAGCATACAATGAGGCAAGAGTGATGAGATTATAACATGAAACACTTCTGTACGACCCCAATTCTGAAAAAGTTGGGATGCTTTGATTATTCCAAAGTTTTCAAAGAGTGTCTCATGTCTATAAAAGCCATTACATTTTGGAGGCATGAGACGTTCTTTGGGAGTGCAGCTGTTCAAGACAGTTCTAGAGCTAATAAAACTGAACCACTTTGATGACAGACTTTGGCTGAGGGATTTTAAGGCTGATTTATACTTCTGCATCTAGCGCACACCTTCACTTGGTTGCATTGCCCCCATCGTGGCTGACCCGCACCTTTCAAAAAAACGTAACTACACGTTGCAATGGCGCGTAGTGCAAGCTCTGTAATTGTTCGGCTTTGTAGCTGTGATAAGTGTGGGCGTTGCTGAGAGCCCCGAGCCTGATGGAGCGAGTGTTTCAAAGTGTCAAGTCTCTGGAAGGAACTTCAGATGGAAACTTTTGTTTTGTGTTTACCTTATGATTAATGTTGTTGCACGTCCGCCGGTTCCCACCTCTGAATGAGGTTTAGCTACTTGTACCAAAAAAAAAAAAAAAAAAAACACCGGCAAAAAAAGTCAACACAGAGGAACAAAAAAACCTGCTGCCAGCTAGCGTTTCAGAAGTGTTATCGCAGAGCAACACAAACAGCATGCAGAAGTATAAATGTATGACTACGCGCAAGGCATCTGCTGTGGGTCATAATGATCACTAAACCAGCCTTTAGAATGATCGAAACAACATTTCAGATGTTTTACAATGTGGTCAGTCCGCTGCTTTGTGCATTAATGTCGTCCTATTGCACCCATTTTTGTTATCACATGATTTAAGATTTTTTATGTGCATTCTGGAATTTATTGGGTAATTGTCTTTCAATCATAGTTTATGTAATTTTTTAAAGTTACTTATAATCAGTTGTGTGCACATTTTTATTATGCGCGTTTTCAAAATTTATGCACATCTTGACATTTCCATTAAGCATTTTTTAAATTACATTTTCCACATTGCACATAAAATAGTTGGTTGCTTTTTTCTCCAACATTCTTCAAAATATCTTTTTTTTTTGAGTAAAAAATTCTTGAAAACTTTCTGATCATCTACTTCTTGTGGTTCTAAACTTTTATTTTTGGGTGAACTATTAATTTAACAATCAAGGCTGATTTATACTTCTGCGTCGTGTGCACACAGATGGTCCGACACAGCCTTTGCACAGTCACAGACCAGCACATCTCTCAAAAAAGTACACGTCACAACTATGCGTAGCACAAGAGCTGTGAATGGCTGGCTTAGTACCGTTGACTAGTGTGGGTGGTGCCGAGAGCTGCGGGAGAGGAGCGAGCCCATTGGAGCAAGTGTTTAACAAGTGTCAAATCCTGAGGAAGAGCTCCTAATGAAAACTTTTGTTTTGTGTTTAGCTTATGATTACATTTGTTGCACGTCTGGTTCCTGCTTCTGAATAAGTGAGTTTGAGCTACTTGTACAGTAAGGTAGCATTAAAGGGGTGGTCCAGAGTGTAATTTTAAGACTTGGTTGTGTTGATAAGATGCAAAGCAATGTGTGCTCATGTTTATTTGTTACAAAAATTATGTTTTTTTTTTTCATACATCTTACTTTGATTATATACAGCTACTTAACTAACATGAAAATAAATGTCATATTTCCTAGTTCCTTCAAAAGACCCACCCTCAAAAAACTCTGATTGGTCAGCTAACATAATGTGCTGTGATTCCTGGATTGGCTCCACGTCACCAGAAAAATCTTTACATTAGCATATGCTTATGCGCTGTGTAAACACTGTCAGTCAGAGTAGCTGTTAGCCGTATCGGTCTGTGCCTGAATCAGACAGAAAATGAAGAGGACACAGCTGAACCTCACGCCTGCTCTCTAAAATAAAATCTGACAAATGCCTTTTACATATATTTGGGTTATAAGCATGTGTATTAATATGAAACATTCATATATCTTTTGCGAGTTTGTTATTTAAGACGTAGAGCGCAGGAAAAGTGGCCGCACAGAAAGACACTGCAGCGCTGGTGAAGACTGTGGGTGTTTACAGCGATTTGATGGATAAATATGAATTTGTAGCTAAACTGTTAATGGTGCCAAACAGCATTTTCCGTTGTTTACATTTTTGCTACAACATACCGCTAGACACTATGCATGTAATAGATTATTTTAACAAATAAACACACAGGTTGTGACTCACGGTCCACAACTTATGGTTGGAGCAGCTCCTTCTTTCAGTTTTTAGCTGAATCCAGCACTGAACTGGGAGAGATTCTGGATGCTGTCCTTTGTCAAATGCTAGTTATATATTTTTTGTATTCTCTGGAACATAATTAAAATTAAACTGTAAGCACTTCTCTCCTTGTGTTGTGTCCTTTCGAAGCCCAGATACAGAAGCAGAACGAGCTCTGTAGAAATAGCAGCATTTAGACGGCATTTTAGCTTTTTCTGCTAGAACATTATAGCACTACAACCTGAAGCGTTTGTGATCTCACTAGCCAGGATGTATTTTTTTTGCAGTTCCCAAACTTCATTCTCTGTAGGTTTTGCTAAGCTAACTCTGTAAAAGCCAATGTCTCCCTTTATATTGAACTTGGATTGTGTTACATTCAGATATGTTGTTTATGTTCACACAGCTACATTACACATGAACTAAAGTTTAAAATATGATATCGTAGTGGACCACCCCTTTAAAAATGAAAAACTCGACACAGAGGAACATAAACCCCCCCCTGCCTTGCTAGCGTTTCAGAAGTGTTATTGCAGAGCAACACAAACAGAATGCAGAAGTATAAATGCACGACAACGCACAAGGCATGCGACGATCACTCAATGCAGAAGTTTAATCCAGCCTTCACACATTCTTGATTCTATTGCATTTCACAAAACACCCCAACCTTTTGTACCAGACTTGGGACTGTACAATATACAAACAAGTACTTTGTTGTAAACCAACCTCCGTTCTCACTTCTCAGCTGCGCTCAGCCGCTTGGACTTAATGAAGGCCATTCCGTGTGTCCGCATGTGTGTGTTTAAGGCTCCCTCTGTATCGAACGTCTTTGAACATACTTTACATTGAGTGTCCGGGATGCCACCATTGTCCTCAGGGTTTGGAGTGTTCTCCTGCTGCCCGTTGTGCCGCCCGAATCCCTGCGGCTCTTTCAGCTTGTGCACGATGAACAGGTGTCGTGAGAGCGAATGGTGCGAGGTGTAGCACAGGCCACATTCGCGGCACTGGAAGGACGAGACGTCAGTCTTGTGCTGGGGAATGTGCTCATGAAAACGCACAATGTCTTCAGTGGTGAAGCTGCACACGGCGCATTTGTGCGTTTTGAAGACGTTGATCTTAAGTTTCTTTAGAGGTTGTAGGGACGAGCCCTTCGGCCGCTGACAGGAAGTCACGTCTCCTTTGGGTTCTTCCACATCCTCTTGGCCATCAGCGTCTTCATCTTCAGAGTGGAGCTTTCTTTTAGGACTGGGAACCTGAGATTGTGAAATGACAAGAATGAATAATGCTAGGCAGGAATGATAAAAGGTTAGTTGGAAATGCATTTGTTTTTTAGAAATTCTGTGTGATCATGATAAGCTGATAATTATATTATATTATATTATATTATATTATATAGAACTTTGAGAACAACAAATACACAAATATACTTCATTGAACATGTACACATGGGCATGACCTATATACAGTACTATATAACTGTAGGTTAACTATGCTTATATATAATGGGCTCTATTTAACAATCTAGGCACAAAGTCTAAAGCACATGGTGCAAAAGCATTAAGGGTGTGTCTGAATCCACTTTTGCTATTTTATGGTTGGAAAAATGCGTTTTGCACCCTGGCACATGTTCTAACAGGGTTGTGCTTATTCTCTTAATGATTTATGGCTGTGTTTTGAGCATAGCGTGCATTAAACCAATCAGAGTCTCATCTACTATTCCCTTTAAAAGTCAGTTGCATCGCACCATGGCGCATTTGCCATTTACATAGCGGACTTTGTAAGTGGAAAAACTGATTACTTCACTAGAGAAAAAAAAGTTAAATAGATCATCTGCAGCACGAGGATAAAGAACGAGCCTCCTCCAATCTGCCTCCTTACTTCCTCTTTACCTTCCTCTTTACTCCTTTACTTTTGTGAAGCGAGGAAACATTGTTGTACGCACTCCACTGAGGACATCCATTAGCCTACATATTTAATTTTGTTTGTTAAGCGCAAAGATTTGTTTGAAAACTATTTCTAAATTCAGTTCTAATTTTCAACAAACTAATAAATGACCAATAATAACCAAGGGTGGTAAAAAAAAACTGAGTTACATCCAAACACATACTATTCTTATGCCACATTTAGTGACACATCCTTCTTCAAAACCCAACAGGTAGACAAATCTAAACTTGTTTATATTAAAACAAATATAAATATGCATATAATAAAATATACTGCAAATAATAATAATATACAAATTTAAATTGTCATGAATAAACTAAAAAAGCCACAAGAGACGAGGCAGGTGTTTTTATATTTATGTAGAAAATAATAATTTTTGTAACATTTTAATCCTTTAATTGTTTTCATATGTGAAGATGTTTGTGTATTGCTGCACATCCTGTGAATATTAAGCAATGTGTAAGCGCTTGAACCCACATAGGTCCATAGCTATTGCGTTCTGCGCTGGACTTTAAACCTGCTTTTAGTTGATCAATGGCGCACTCTATTTCAGTTCTACAAAATAGCAACACGCCAACAATGCGCCATAACACATCCATTTTAGGCCAGCACACCCATGAGTCCACATAGTGGCACAAATGGATTTACTATTTAAACAACAAGGTCCAAAAAGTCAAAATTACTGTTGCACTGGTCTGAAAATAGCAACAAATCACGCCATACACGTCTTGCTCCTCATTGCGCTGGGTGTATGATAGGGCCCAATAACTTTAACTATTAAAAGCTATTAGTTACTAGTCATTTACTTAAAGTTATTAGTAGCTAATACATTTATGTTAAATAATAACCTAAAATGTTCTGGGTATGATTGTAATGCAATAATTGGCACATTTTGTAAAGCTGCTTTAAAACAATAATTTTTGTGAAAAGTGTTATATGGATAAACCTGAATTGAGTATTATATTTTATTTAGTGCTAATAATTTGTATCATATACATGTATATTTTATATTTAAATATAAATAATAACTTTCTCAATTATATGCTTGTATATGTATATTAATATATGCCTGTGTGTATTTAGATATACACTCAAAAAATATACACCAGAAACTTTATTTTGGATTTGATTAATTGCAATTAATTTTTGCCAGACACTAGTTATATTATATTATACTACCCAATGTGTACAATATGAACTACTATTGAAAATATCTTATTTATAAAGCCTTAAGCATCAATCTAAAACATTCTGGGGGATAATGGTAAACTGACAATTATTTTTATGCATTGTCAGATGATATTAGCAGAAAAAACATTTATAAATTTGAGTTTCAGATCTACATTTGCTAACACATCACTAAGCTAATCATTGTGTGTTAAATGTTATTAACAGTAAATGGAATTGAGCTACACTGAAATAACAATGAACAGCTACTATGATTAGCCAATGTTAACTACTATTAATAAACTGAGAGCCAAATGTAATGCTCATGTTGAGTGACTATTATTAGATCACATTTGTTTCTAAATTTGCACTGGGGGTTATAAAATATTAGAATATAAACTTAAAATCACTAAAATATTTAAATCATTATCAATGAAAACAATCTGGTATCAATATATTGTGCATCTTTCATAAAAATGACTAGATGTTTATAATGTCAAAAGTCTGGGGTCAGAAATAAATACTTTCATGTGGCAAGTATGCGTTAAATTGATTAAGAGTGACATTAAGACATTTATAATGTTATAAAATATTCTTTTTCAACCAAACAGTTCTTTTGAACTCTCTATTCATCAAAGAATGCAGAAAAATAAAAGTATCATGCTTTTTAATGAGAGGAAATGCTTATTATGCACCATGCCAGCATATTAGAAGAAGCCTGGGAGACTAAAACAGGAGTAATGATACAGAGAGTGAAATTTCAATACCTTTTAAGACTTTTTTTAAGACTCTTTCCATACATTTTAAAACCTTATAACCTCTTTTTAACTGGAAACACTGGCAAGATTATAATTTACAGTACATTTACTAAATATTAATGCAAGAAATTAATCCAAAACCAAAACAATATTCATATACTGAATAAAAATCTATTAAATCTAGCTAATTAAGCAGTTTGGTGCCTGTAGAGCTGCAGAAATAATGGTGCTGCCTTGGTTACTGCAGTAAACAAAGCATGATGTCAAATCTAGTTGGATTTTAATCATTTCATAAACTACACAGCATCCTGATTTTCACAGATTTAATTCAGGCAAATTTTAGCATTCAACAATACATTGCATAATCAAAAATGATCTAAAATTGAATACCTTGCAAAATGGCATCTAAGACTTTTTAAATACTTTTTAGAGGCCTTAAATTTCTTTACATTGATTCAACTTTACCTGACTCCGGGGACACCCTGTGATTGCAAGAATGCAGTTATTGCTTCACAGGAATACATTTACTTTTAGAAAATACTGCAATAAAATGAAGTATAAATAATAGATCTAACGGCAGACAATACAGACCTACTATAAATGTTCTTGGTTACCTGCTCTTTTTCCGCCGTGGCTTCGTTGCTGCTGGAATCAGCTGGAAGCTTGTCTTCGGTCTCTTTAACGGTGTGCATTAAATGAATGTGTTTCTCTAACAGCAGTCTTTTTGTGAAGGTTCGACTTGGATCTGGACAGTGTCTGAGAAAACCAAAGAGAGATCTGTTCTATAAGTGTTTATGATTTGTGTGTTCAGCTTTAAAATGCAGACCTACACGTTTAACTGAAACGAAAGCGCATTTCGCTTTGCTGCAGAAACACGTGATACTCACGGACATGAGTAGACCTTCCGTAGGCCCTTGTGTTTGATTCGGTTGTGTCTGCATAAGCTGTGAGAGGAACTGAAGGACTTTTCACACTGCCGACATGGATGCTTTTTCAGTTGCTGGTGGAGCAGAAAGGAGAAAATTGATGGTAATCAGGTTTATACGCGTGCAGTAATGTACAAAAGTATTAAGGCTGCCTATTGATTAAGTTGACTAAACATGTGCTTACACTAAATTTTATTGGTCAGTTAGTTTGCAGGAGATGTCAGGCAAAGTCTGGCAGTCAATGAAGAAATATTTATTAAGACAGCACTGGACTGGCAGATCCGCATGCTATTAAGTATGTTTGAAAGAAAGTAAAAGTGTAAATGATGACTCAAATTTATGTTTGCAAAGTCTTCATGCTAACACTGATCTTTATTATTTTAAATATAGGTCACATACACTAGTCCAGGGATTTTCAACCCTTCATCATACAGTCTATACAATTTATAGTGATAAGAAAATTGTATATAATAAATGGGCATTAAGTAATATTTGTTTTAATAGCATATATTTTTGTTAAGCTTAATCATAATATTTTTCTAATTTTGTATTTATTTACATGTTTTTCTATTTTTTTTTCTATTTATTAATGTCTTTCTTTTCTTTTTCATTCTTTTAACACCTATTTAACACATTTTATTCTGTTTTAATCATTTTTATTCTTTGTTTTTATTTTCTTATACGTGTCTCTTTTATTCCTGTTCATGTAAAGCACTTTGAACTACCATTGTGTGCTGTGTAATAAAAACTATAATATAACATATTATATATTAAAATTAGGGCGACGCGGTCGCGCAGTGGGTAGCACGATTGCCTCACAGCCAGAAGGTGGCTGGTTCGAGCCTCGGCTGGGTCAGTTGGGATTTCTTTGGGAAGTTTGCATGTTCTCTCCGTGTTCACGTGGGTTTTCTCCAGGTGCTTCGGTTTCCCCCACAGACCAAAGACATGTGCAATAGGTGAATTGGGTAAGCTAAAATTGGCCGTAGTGTATAAGTGAGAATGAATGTGTATGGTAGGGGTGTAAACCTACACTGGTCTCATGGTTCGGTTCAGTTCGGTTTCGATTATCATGCCATCGATTCGGTTCAATTCGATATCTCGGTGCATCACGGAGCTTTCCATATATAATTAGATTTTTTCTTCACAACACAAGAATAATTTTTTAATAAAAATATATAAATATATTAATATGTATATATTATTTGTAACACAATAATGTCCAAGCAGTAAGATATTTGAACTGTACCTTTAATTTTACCTGCTCGAAGAAAACATTCTTTTGAATGTATCAAACAAAACTCCAATACATGAACACAAGACAACATGAGCATTTATAGCAAATAAACTAATGTAAATATTATCCCGCTTCCTTTTTGTCTGTCAAAGGAGGTCTTACACTCCTATGATTGTTCATAGTCTTCAGCTGCTCAACAGAAAGGGCTGCAATTGGCTTTAGAAATGAAATCACTGTTCACTGATGAGTTACGCGCAATGTGAAAATTAAAGTGACCGGTTATGAAAATGAAGTGAGGTGTCGTGGACCTCTATTCTGCCGCCCTATGCGCGGATATAACTGAGGATGCGCGGGTGCTGAGTGAGGGAGGTGTCCTCTCTATTCTGCCGTTCTATTCGCGGGTAAAACTAAGGACGCACGGGTGCTGAGTGAGGGAGGTGTCGCGGACGCTGCCCTCTCTATTCTGCCGCCCTTTGCGCGGATATAAAAGAGGACGCACGGGTGTCGCGGACCTCTATTCTGCTGCCCTATGTGTGGATTTAACTGAGGACACGCGGGTGCTGATGGAGGTGTCTCTGACGCCGCCCTCTCTATTCTGTCGCCTATGCGTGAATATATCTGAGGACGCGGGTGGTGAGGGAGGTGTCGCGGACATAACTGAGGACGCGGGTGCGCGGGTGGTAAGGGAGGTGTTGCGGATGCCGCCCTCTCTATACTGCCACCCTAGGCGGCTATCCTCTCTATACTGCCGCCCTAGGCGGCCGCCTAGCTTCTATGGACGTGCCGGCCCTGGTCACGCGGGACGAACAGCCGCAGTTACAGTCTATAAGTGCACAATACGCGGTTAACACAGGTAATCCGTAATAGACAGTGGACAAAACTCGCAACTCAGGCATGCTCGTGTCTGGATCCACAAGTATCGCTTTAAAAGCCAAGAGGAGAGGAAAAGTTACTTCACAAACAGGCCAGCACAGCGGGTCAGATGTCCAAAGTGTGTGCAAGAGAGAGCAGCAGGGACAGAATTTCACAGCATTTCTCCCTAGTAGTGAAATTGCGGCTCGTGTGCTGTGCCTTCTTTAGTGTCAATGAAAGACTTTCCACTAAACTCACAAGCAGTTGAACTGTGCGTAATTATCTACCTTTTAAGTAGTAGGAGCGCTTTATTTAGTCGCCCTCGCCTCCTTCGCCATAGTTTTCTACTGCGACATCGCGCATAGGAGATAAATGACGTCAGTATGTAATAACTGGTTATAATCTATTACTGAACTGATAGTAATAGATCTGCATCACAGTGTACCGAAGAAACAATTAATTTTGACACCCCTAGTGTATGGATGTTTCCCAGGGGAAGGGTTTGCCGGAAGGGCATCCGCTGCGTAAAGCATATGCTGGATAAGTTGGCGGTTCATTCCGCTGTGGCGACTCCAGATAAATAAAGGGACTAAGTCAATAAGAAAATGAATGAATAAATGAATAATAATGTTATATATTATATAATGATAATAAGATAATATAACAATATGTGCTATATAAATAAACTTGCCACGTCTTGCATATTTTCTTATTTTATATGTATTACTAAATCTAACTTGCATTAGTTTGTACATTTTTTGTATAATTAACAAATTAAACACATTTTTAAGAACAAAATACATTTGTAAAAATTATTTTAATTGGTACAATAATAAATATATCATTTTAATCCATTTTTAATTTGTACTTTTTTACTGATTTGTGATACTAAAAATATTTTAATAAATACCTAAATAAAACTGATAAAATGGGTTATAATGTACACACACACACACACACCTTAAAATATTTTCTAATAATATTTGTGCTCTTTTACGTGCTGCCAGGTGAATTTATATAATAAAAAAAAAAAACACAGTACAGATTGTAAAATTGTGAAATGTTATTGCACTATAAAATAACTGTTCAAAAGTAGTTTATCATTTAATTGAATAATTTATTCCAGTGATTTTAATTACCAATTTTCAGCTTCATTACTCCAGTCTTCAGAGTCAAATGATCCTTCAAAAATCACTCTAATATTAATTATAATTATTTTATTAATGGTAATAAAAAAGCAATATTGACTGGAGTAATACTTCCATTTGAAACTACATACAATAAGAAAGCAGTTATTTAAATAATATTTTAATAAATATTTTATTTTAGAAAAATGTACATTTAATAAATGGCGCCTTGATAAACAGATTAACGTTCTTTAAAAAAAAAAAAAAAAAAAAACCTGACAAAAAAACTGACTCTAAACATTTGACCGGTAGTGTACAGTATGTGGCTACTGTTGTCATTTCTATCTGTTTCTACATTACCAAAATGTATCCTTTTTTGACACACTCATACCACAACTTTTGTCAATTTGGCTGTGGCGTTGCTATGGTTTGCTTTAAGTGCTTCATTTGCTTCACAATTATTATGTATTGTTTGTAATATAAAACAGTGCTACAAATAGTTTTCTTAATCAAACTGGAAACTAACAGTATTTTCTCCCTGCATATACTTTAGTAATTAAATTAATATCATTAAAGTGTGATGAGTTGATTAATGACTTAAATAAACAACTATTAGTTATCTAGGAAAATCTTCAATTGAACGCAGCCCAATAATTATATAACCCAAGGTCTCTCTACACTAACCAGAACTAAAACTAGTATAATTTTACCTTCCCATGCTCTCTTTTCATGTGCGAGATGTAGACTTCTCTCTGTGTGAACAAGCGGTCACAGTCTCTGCAGTTCCAGCCAGGGCAGGAGGTTGAAGGAGGTGGTTTTTTGGGAATGTCTGTCCCATTACTGCTCTTCTTTGTCGGTGACACTGGTTTCTTCTCTCCCTTCTCCAGGTTGCTGATGGAGCTGCTCTCCTTGTTGTTGCTGTTGTTATTGGGACTCAGGGAATTAGTAGGTTTGGAGCTGAGAGGAAGATTAATGCCCAGGTTTGGAGGGCCCTCGATGGTCTTTAAGGTGCCATGCATCGACTTGAAAGAAAGAGGGATTTTAATATTAATACGATATAAATAATGTAATAATGAAAATCTTTGTTCAGGGCAAAGATAAATTGCATCCAAAATAAAAGTTTGTTTTGACATTATATACATTTTTATTCATATTTAAATATAAAACATATGTATGCAGTATGATACAAATTGTATATACATTTAAATATTTATACAAAAAGTTTTTATGTACGTGTATTACATACATAATAAATATATGAAGAGTTTAGATATAAAAACCTCTAAAAACCTGTTGATATTTTCTTTTAAAATTAGCATTTACTCTGACTCGTGTGTAGGCTCAGTAATTTCACTTTTATAGTGAAGAATAAGTTATTTTTATTGCCTTTCAAAAGGCAAATTTTAGGTGAACATTATTATTATTATTATTCATTCATTCATTTTCTTGTCGGCTTAGTCCCTTTTTTAAATCCAGGGTTGCCACTGCAGAAATTATCCAACACATTTTTACGCAGCGGATGCCCTTCCAGCCGCAACCCATCTCTGGGAAACACACACATATTCACACTCATACACTACGGACAATTTAGCCTACCCAATTCACCTGTACCACATATGTCTTTGGACTGTGGTGGAAACCGGAGCACCCAGAGGAAACCCACGCAAAAGCAGGGAGAGCATGCAAACTCCACACAGAAATGGCAACTGACCCAGCCGAGGCTCGAACCAGCGACCTTCTTGCTGTGAGTCGACAGCACCACCTACTGCGGATTCCTCCACAGTCCAAAGACATGCGGTACAGGTGAATTGGGTAGGCTAAATTGTCCGTAGTGTATGAGTGTGTGTGGATGTGTGTGGAAGGAAATCGCTGCGTAAAAACATATGCTGGATAAGTTCTCGGTTCATTCCGCTGTGGCAACCCCAGTTTAATAAAGGGACTAAGCCGAAAAAAAAAGAATTAATTATATATATATATATATATATATATATATATATATATATATATATATATATAGTTTTAAGAAATTAAAAACTGCTTCTAGCCTAAATAAACCAAATAAAACTTTCTCCAGAAAAAAAAAAAAATTATTAGACATTCTGTGGAAATTTCCTTGCTCTGTTAAACATCTGAAAAAAAAAATTCAGAGGGGGAGGCTAATAATTCTGACTTAAACTGTGTGTGTGTGTGTGTGTGTGTGTGTTTATATGTGTGTGTGTGTGTGTGTGTGTGTGTGTGTGTGTGTGTGTATATATACATACATACATACATTCATATATATATATATATATATATATACATACATAAACACACATACAATGCTAAAGAATAAAGTTAAAGAGTAACTCAATTTATTGATTTTCAAATTAATCACAACAAATGCACATTAGTGTTGTGTCCCAATTTGCATAATATCCATCATAAATATTACACAAAATTAATAATATCCCAAATCATAGTATGTTGAAGGGAGCATTTCAAAAGTTACCTGGATTCTCTACTATTTAAGAAAGTGCAGATTCATGCATATGCTAATAATGCCCACAATACATTACACAAGCCAGACCGAAGATTAAGTGGAGCAGCTTTGATAAAGATGTTTAATTGATTAATAATATCTAACCTAATGGAACTTATTTATTTCACATTTTCTGCATAAAATCTACTTTTTTAAAAAGTAAAAAATTTATCTTTAACTTCTAAATGCTTGATTATGAAAACACTTTCTGCAGATTAACCTGCTGCTGTTTCCTCAATATTGTAGAAAGTTAATTATAAAAGACATGTAAATGTGACAAAATGATAGACAGGGCTCGTAACTAAGCAACCGAATGGCCCATTAATAAAAAAGTAGTATGTCCCAAGTATGTATGTAGTAATATTTGCCGGCAGCTAGCTCTCTGCAACTCTCACATGGTCGCCCACTGAAGCGAAGCAGAGCTGTGCCCAGTCAGTACCTGGATGGGAGACCACATGGGAAAACTAGGTTGCTGCCGGAAGTGCTGTTAGTGAGACCAGCAGGGGGTGCTCATCCTGTGGTCTGTTTGGGTCCTAATGCCCCAGTATAGTGACGGGGACTCTATACTGCTCAGTGAGGGCCGTCTTTCGGATTAAACGTTAAACCGAGGTCCCGACTCTCTGTGGTCATTAAAAATCCCAGGATATCCTTCGAAAAGGAGTAGGAGTTTAACCCCGGCATCCTGGCCAAATCTGCCCACTGGCATCTGTCCATCATGGCCTCCAAACACTCCCCATATCAAAAATTGGCTTCATCACTCTGTCTCCTCTCCACCAATCAGCTGGTGTGTGGTGTGCGGTCTGGCAAAAAATGGCTGCCGTCATGTCATCCAGGTGGATACTGCACACTGGTGGTGGATGAAGAGACCTACCCCCTAGCCCTTCCCCCACCCCCACCCCCCATTGTGTAAAGCGATTTGAGTGCCCAGAAAAGCGCTATATAAATGTAAGTAATTATTATTATTATTATTATGTCTGTCACACACTTAAATGTATGTAGTATAAATAGGCGAATTGGGACACAGCATAGCTGTCCAATTGTCATTTTCTGACCAACTGTAAAAAATCTGCCTTAAATTACAATATTTTTCATGAAACTGGGAAGAAATGTCACCAGACTTTTACAGAATAATAAAACCAACAAATCCAGAGAAACTGAGAATTTTTAAGTAGTTTCTTATTTCGTGCATTATATAATTCTCACAGGTTTGATTGCCTTACTTTAATATGATCCAACATGAGCTGCTTTTGGGCGTAGTGCACCGAACAGTCTGGACACTTGAAGACAGACACTTTCTGACTGGATATGTGCTGGTCAAAGTGCGTGTAGAGCAAAGTCTGCTGGGTAAAAACTGTGTCACACATAGAACACTTGTAGATCAGCCTGCAAAACAACATACAATGCATTGCCATTATCTAAAACGCTTGTTCATACTCGAGTAGGTGTTCCTACTCCTCAACATCTCAAGCTAAAACAACACACAAAACCAACTCTCCCTTTAGCATAAATATATTGTAATGTTGAAGGAAATAACGAGCATACTAAAGCTTGTCAGTGTCAGACATCTGCATTAAACGTCAATAAGCTGGCTGATTAGGTTTTCAACATGGTTTCAGATAAAACAGGAAGTGCAAACAAACCATCTGGCCTTTTCATTAGCAAGTGCTGATGAACATGACAGGCATGTTGGGAAGTGGTCAGGTTCAAAGAGAGGACATGGAAATTAAAGCCACCATGAATAATTTCTTTCTACACCTGAAAAGGTCAGTGGCATACGAGTTCTCGAAGAACTGATTTGACACACATATCCTGTTTCCCTCCTCTATACTGCAGCTGATAATCACTGCAAACAAGTGTTTAGTGCATGGTGTGGATGATTAATTATGTTCATTGTGGTCAAAATGATTAGTCCTCCTGTGAATTTTTGTTTTTTCTTTTTCAAATATTTCCTAAAAAATGTTTAACAGAGCAAAGAATTTTTCACAGTATTGTCTGTAATATTTTATCTTCTGGAGAAAGTCTGATTTGTTTTATTTCGGTTTGAATAAAAGCAGTTTTTCAATAAAAAAATTAATTAAGGTCAATATTATTTGCCCTCTTAAGCAATCTTTTAAAGATACTTTTTAGGGTGCTTTCACACCTACACTTTTGTTTCGGAACATATCTCGTTTGCCCAGTTAGCGCGGTTCGTTTGGCATATGTGAACAGGGCAATCGCTCTAAAGTTCCGCGCCAAGGTAATCGCTCCGAGATCGTTTGAATGAGGTGGTCTCGGCTCGATTGAAACGAACCCTGGAGCGGTTCGATTGCAGTGAGAAAGCGATTAGATCTGAGCGCGGTTATATCACAGTGTTTTATGGATATGTAATAAGCTTACGGCTTTATGAAGAGAGAATTATGAGTATGGCGGGAAGTTTCACGAGTCTCCGGATGCCCGCAAACGAGTGATGATCTCCCGGTAATCTCGCGTCTCCCTCCCGGTCCTCAAATAGGCTACGTCACGCACCCTTTCCACCCCTCCCCACCGCATCTCTCCTCAGACACATCGCGCGCGCACCCTGTCAATCACCATCAAACCATCACCATTCCTGACAGCTTAGCGGGTCGCTGCAAAATAAACCCTGACACTCTGACCAATGTGAGGAGAGTTTACTCGCACGTGACTTGTTTTAGCTCTTTTGGTCCGATTAGAAACTTTGCAATGTGAAAGCGAACCGCTCCAAGAGCAAAGAGCAACAATGTAACAATTGTAATCTCTGTTTCGGAACAACTGAATCGATTCACAGGTGTGAAAGCACCCTTAGATTCTTTCTGGTTTAGGGTGTTTTCACATCTGTAGTTCGGTTCATTTGGTCTGGACCAAGGGCAACAGATGATACATTGTAGCATTTTCTGCTATCTTTGGGTCGGGTTCACACCACACAGATTGCTTTGGTCAGAACCAGTTGAAAGAACCAAAATGCAGTCATCTGACAAAATCCACATCACTCAGTGGTCAGATGATATTGAACGTATTACCTAAACTGCTTTTCGATTGGTCAGAATTCACTTGCGGGAAAAAGCCAATGAAACTCCAGCAAGTAAACAAACCGTCAGACACAAAATGTCACTTTTTACTATGGAGCTATGACTGCACTGGCTGATTGTATCCATAGTCATAGTATACTATATAGTTTGTATACATCACTTTAGACAAGCTATACATTTCGAGAATGAAGCGTGGCTGGAAAACAATTATGTTTTAATGCATCGCACGTCACTTTAGGAGGAGGCATGAATTAATTTAGCTAAACTGCGATATGGTCATCTTACGGAAATATTACCAACGATCCATTTTTCCTCTCTCCCTCTCCAGTGGTAAAGCGCTGTCAACAAATGTTTTTCCTCCACATTCCATAATGCACAGCGCATCGGCCTACGGCAGCTGGATTAGTCCAAAAAGGTGCAGTACTTTTTGCGGTTGTGCCTGTTTTAGTTCAGATCATGTGTGGGTACATAATATTGGATAGTTCTAGTTCAGGGATGGGCAAACTTGATCCTCGAGGGCCGGTGTCCATACAGAGTTTTGTTCCAACACTAGTCAAACACACCTGAACAAACTAATCAGTGTCTTCAAGATCACTAGAAATCTATAAGCAGATGTGTGTGATTAGAGCTGGAGCTAAACTGTGCAGGACACCGGCCCTCCAGGACCGAATTTGCCCACCCCTGTTCTAGTTTGAACTTGGGCTTAAAAAAACAAAAATGGAAAATGTTGTTCTCTGATGTATCTTCCTGTATTTTACCAGTCTGTTCAATAGTAAAAAGTATATATTAAAACATTTATATTTTTAAATCTTAAGGTTGCTATAAATATTGAACTTAAAATTGTTTTACAAAAATGTCCAAACTGCCTTTATGTCAGCCAAACCAAAAGAAATAAGACTTTCTTCAGAATAAAAAAAATGTTATTAGGAAATACTGTGAAAATTTCTGTGCCCTGTTAAACAGCACTTGGGAAATAACTTACATCTACAGTTGAAACCAGAAGTTTACATACACTGTATAAAAAGGCAGATAACCATTAAAAAAGTCAGATGTTAATGTGACTAAACTTTTTCTCTTTTAGGTAAGTTAGGTTTATCAAATTTGTTTCTGTTATGCTTAATAGCAGAATCATGAGAGGTATATTATTTAAGAAATTGTTATAACTTTTCTTGAAAGTCAAGTTTACATACAATAAGATTATTATGCCTCTGAAAAAGCTGAGATGATGGTGTCATGGTTTTGGAAGTTTTTGATTGGCTAATTGACAAGATTTGAGTTAAAGATTTGAGGCACAACAGTAAAATAGTATTTAAGGAAAACCTCAAACACACTGCTTTCTTGTGTGACAACATGGGAAAATCAACAAGTCAGAATCAATAAAAAAAGTCAGATTACAATTTGCTAAATTACACTAAAAAAATAAATAAATAAAGAATACGTTTGACATGCCCTGTGGTATAATGGAACTAAGATTGAACTGTTTGGCCATAATGACCAGTGTTACATTTGAAGGACAAAGAGGAAAGCTTTGAAGCCTAGGAACACCATCCCAACTGTGAAGTATGGGGGCGACAGCATCATGTTGTGGGGCTGTTTTGCTGCAGGAGGGACTGGTCCACTTCTGGACCAGTGGTCCACTGTAGAAATACTGAAGCAACATGTCAAGACATCAGCCAGGAAATTAAAACTTGGCCACAAATGAGTCTTCCAAACAGACCATGACCCTAAGCATACTGCCAAATTAGTTCAAATCTGCTTTAAGGACAATAGAGTGACTGTTTTGGAGTGGCCATCACAAAGCCCTGATCTTAAACCTATAGAAAATTTGTGGGCAGAATTAAAAAAGCTTGTGAAAGCAAGACAGCCAACAAACCTGACTCAGTTACACCAATTCTGTCAGGAAGAATTGGCCAAAATTCCTTCAAACTATTGTGAGAAGCTTGTGGAAGGATACCCAAAACATTTGACCAAAGTTATACAGTTTAAAAGCAAAGCTAACAAAAAGTAAATGTATGAGAACTTTTGATTGTTTAGAAATTAATAAAAAATTCTCAAAATTCTGGCATTTAGCAAATGTAAATCACATATATATATATATATATATATATATATATATATATATATATATATATATATATATATATATATATATATATATATATATATAAATTTTACAGGTATGCTAAAAATTATTTGGCCTTTAACTGTTCAACTGTGGCGTTCTGTCCTTTATACTATTGCTGAGCATCACTGCAAATAGATGTGAGTGTTTAGTTCAAGGTGTGGAATTGAATGATTAATAATCATCACCATCATTGCTAAAAAATTATTAGCCCTCCTGTGAATTATTATTTCCCAAATAAGAGTCAGAGCAAAGACATTTTCACAGTATTTGCTATATTTTTTCGACTACAGAAAGTCTTATTTGTTTTATCTCAGCTATAATAAAAGCAGTTTTATTAATTTAAAAAAAAACATTTTAAGGCGAATATTATTAGCCCGCTTAAGAAATATTTTAAAGATATTTAAAAAATAAATAAATAAAAACTTAAGGTTGCTATTAATATTGAACATAAAAATTGTTAAATTGTTAAAAACCAAAAGAAATAAGATTTTATATATATATATATATATATATATATATATATATATATTAGGAAAGATTGAAAATGTCCATGCCCTGTTAAACATTACTTGGGAAGCACAGAAGCACTTAAAATTATTTGGCCTTCAACTGTACGCCAAAAATCATGACAAAGCATAAACACCCATCAGTAATAATATCTAACATGAGCTTCTGATCATGTATTCTGGTCATCCACAGCATTCTGTGGTCAGATATGTTGTATAATGATGACTCGGCTAACCACTTTCACAGAAAACCAGAGTTCAGTTTGTCACAGATTTTTTTCCTCACATAATACAATTAGTTTAGCGCAAATCAATATCTCGTGTGTTTTGTTTCATTTAAGTAACAACCAAGACCACATGACCTAGTTGAGTGAGTTTGTGTTTATATACTTCTTCTTATTTTTTTAACACTATAGTTTCTCAAATGAAAATAGTTTAACCTTTACAGAACAATTAAAAGACAAACAAAGATATCACGCATCACACAGACACACCAATGCGAAGAATTTGGAAAGGAAGCACTCACTTAGGCTCTCCGATTTTGACTCCTGGATGCTGGGTGTAGGCATGGGAATGTGCACCAGGGGCGGATTTAAAAGCCATGGGGCAGATGGGGCATTTGTAGAAGATTTCACAGTGAGATCCCTGAATGTGTGACTTGAGAGCGGCAACATCGGCGAAGATGACACTACAGTGAACACAGCTATGGCCAAAGAAGAAGATGAGAAAGAAAGGGTTACTCTTGAATATATTCTCTAATGCTCTTTTTAGTTTTTATAATCGATGCCAGTCACTTTTAATGTGGCATCAATCATGGGTGAACAGCAGAATAATAGCAGTGAATAAGCGCTCTGATTGCTGTTTGGAAAGCACGTCGAGCCACTCAAAACCAATTAAATGCTTAGGATAATTTAGTATTTCAATACACGTTTGGTGTATAAATAGGAGCTTTATAAGCAATTCAGAAAAAAATAGAACAAAAGTGGTCAGAATGGGGTGAATGCACTCATCTCTAAATTTAGTTCAGTGCGCAGAACTGAAAATGTGACGTGATAATTGCACATTACTAGTGGTATCCATGTAAAAGAATGCATGATAAATTGCAATCCTTTTCCATACCTTCGATGCATGGTGCTGCTACAGTATGCTGAAAAAAAGTGATTTGTTGTGGTGTTGATGCATTTTGCACCACTAGGTGTCAGTAAAGATAACTACACAGCTTTGCTGATTCTCAGGGTGAGCTTTAAACCCTCAATTGATGCATTCATCTGTTTTGCATAAATAAACTTTTGTTTGACTTGGAAAACGAGCCATTTCTTGGAAGAACGGAGGCTTCTGGCTCTGAAAGTTATAGAGATTAACACAGTACTAACCGATAGCCCACACGGCGTGTGTAGTGCAGGCAGTTTTTGGTCACATGGGATTGAAAATGGACAGATCGACAGATAGCTCCACATTCAGGGCAGATATACGGAGACTTGTGCTGATGGATGCGCTGATGGGAGGCAAAGCTACACTGGTTTGGCAGCAGCATTTGGCAAATGGTGCAGGTTTTCTGTGGTAGTAGAGAGAAAAGCACAGGCACATTGTTCAAAATGTTTCAACACAAATCTTAACTACTTGTGTAAATACAAGATGAAGTCAGTGTTTTAGTATTCGAGACTCAAGGTTGATTAACTCGAATACTATATCAAATCAGCCTGTTCACATCAAGTACAATAACTATAAGGATTATACTCACCGGCCACTTTATTAGGTACACCTGTCCAACTGCTTGACGCAAATTTCTAAATCAGCCAATTGCATGTCAGCAACATAGTAAAAACGATTTGCTGCAGTTCAAACCGAGCATCAGAATGGGGAAGAAAGGTGATTTAAGTGACTTTGATCGTGGCATGGTTGTTGGTGTTAAACAGGCTGGTCTGAGTATTTCAGAAACTGTTGATCTACTGGGATTTTCATGCACAACCATCTCTAGGGTTTACAGAGAATGGTTCGAAAAAAAGAAAATATCCAGTGAGCGGCAGTTTTGTGGGCGCAAATGCCTTGTTGATGTCAGAGGTCAGAGAAAAATGGCCAGACTGGTTAGAGCTGATAGAAAGAGAACAGTAACTCAAATGACCACTCGTCACAACTGAGGTATGCAGAAGAGCATCTCTGAATGCACAACATGTCCAACCTTGATGCGGACGGGCTACAGCAGCAGAAGACCACATCAGGTGCCACTCCTGTCTGCTAAGAACAGGAAACTGAGGCTACAATTCACACAGGCTCACCAAAATTGGACAATAGAAGTTTGGAAAAACGTTGCCTGGTCTGATGGGTCTCAATTTCTGCTGTGACATTCTGATGGTAGGGTCAAAATTTGGCATCAACAACATGAAACCATGGATTCATCCTGCCTTGTATCAACATTTTAGGCTGGTGTTGGTAGTGTAATGGTGTGGGGGATATTTTCTTGGCACACTTTGGGCCCATTTGTACCAATTGAGCATCATGTCAATGTCATAGCCTACATAAGTATTGTTGCTGACCATTACCATGCCTTTATGACCACAGTTTACCCATCTTCAAATGACGCGCCATGTCATAAAGCGCAAATTATCTCAGACTGGTTTCTTGAACATGACAATTAGTTCACTGTACTCAAATGGCCTCCATGGTCACCAGATCTCTCCAATAGAGCACCTTTGGGATGTGGTGGAATGGGAGATTCACATCATGGATGTGCAGCCGACAAATCTGCAGCAACTATGTGATGCTATTTTGTAAATATGGAGCAAAATTTCTGAGGAATATTTTCAGTACCTTGTTAAATCTATGCCACGAAGGATTAAGGCAGTTCCAAAGGCAAAAGGGGGTCCAACCCGGTACTAGTAAGGCATACCTAATAAAGTGGCCGGTAAATGTGTGTGTGTGTGTGTGTGTGTGTGTGTGTGTGTGTGTGTGTGTGTGCGCACACACACACACACACACACACACACAAACACACACACACACACACACACACACACACATATATATATTTTTTTTTCTTTAATGTAATAGCTATGGTCTGAACTGTAATGTTGATTTATGTTTAACATTTTTTCTTTATATATATATATATAAAGAAAAAATGTTAAACATAAATCAACATTACAGTTCAGACCATAGCTATTACAATAAAGATGTAAAAAAACTATATTGTTAGGACCACTTTCAGAATGATTTTCATTCCAGCTAATAAATGATAAAAAACTGACAGCCAGACTTAGAACTTAAATATAAAAAAGCTTGAGCAATATTGAGCTACAGACAACAATGTGGAGAAGCTCTGCTTGATGTTAAGCCTTTTCTTTTGTTAATGTCTTTTCAAGCAGTATTTAATGATAATGACTATCTTGGCAACAATTGGAAATAATGCTAAAAAATGGAAGTTGAAAAAAGAATTTAAATGAACGTCAGTCTACTAACCTGAAGTATAAAAATAAAAGCACATCTGGTATCTTTGGGGTGCCTCCTTTGAAAGTGCAAGGGAAAATAATCTGTGTTGTTTTTATTCCACAACTACTCTGTCGGTGGTTGTTAAATTTTGTTTTTGTTTAGATTGATTACACAAGCTGAATTCACTGGTCAGATGTTCTGGTAGCACACCTGCAGGTCACAAAGGGGCAATGCCAAATAATAATAAAAAAAGCATAAGCTCAAAATAAATATAGTTAGTGTGCTTGGTGTGAACAGGCCTTAATACAAGAACCATTCCAACTCATGCATCACAAATAATATACGAACGAACGCACCTGTCCACTTGACTCGGGAGCCTGCTGGTAGTGCATTACAAGAGCTGACTCCTCCTGAAACGTCTCATTACATTCCAAGCACTTCAGATTCGATCTGCAGACCCTGGAGGCATCCTTATCAAGAGGCATGGCAGCAACAACTGGGGCAGAAGAGGGCGCGGAGATCACTGTGGTTGAGTTTCCCTTCCCTTGGCTCCCTGCTATCAAGGATCCAAGGTTAGCTGAAGAGGTGGGAGCACTGGAAGTTACAGAGGGGACCAGAATCATCTGGTCAGCTGGAATTGGCTTTAGTATGAGATGTGAACACTGCATTACAACACCTTTGTCTTTGTGGCCCCTAGCATGTGATAGAAGGCTGCACTTGTTGTAGAAGACTAGATTTTTGGTGCAGTGGTTGCACGTGACCTCAATGCGGACACTTCTACGGTCATAATGCTGAGTGAGGCTTTTTTCCAGGGCAAAGGAATCACCACATTCCAAGCACTTATATCCACGGGATGGTAACGATATACAGGCTGAAGTTGGAGGGCTTAGATTTGGTACATAAACTGGGACAGGATTAATGCTACTCAAAACTTTATTGAAGGCCTCCACCACTGAGCTCTGGGAACTGGTTAGGACCTGGACCCGAGACACCTTCTTTTGTTGCTGTTGGGCCAACAGGGCTTGCTTGATGGGCTGTTGAGGCTTGGTCAGGGCCTGGTGTAGCTCAGCCGATGATGGATTCTGAGGCAAGAGATTTAAGTTGGTTAAGTGGACAGTCTTTGGCACAAGTTTGGTGTTTGTTAGACTGGAAGCAGGCACCATGACAGTTTGTTGCTGAATGGCATTAGCAGCTTTAAGGATGGCACTGCTGGCACTCTGAACAGATGCCGCTGGTATGACAGTGGCCTTTACAGTGGTATTGTTGGCAAGTTTCAGGTTTATCACTTGTGACCCTGCCGTTTTAACAGCTGAGACAGGTAAGAAGGCAGTGGCCACAGGTTTGATGGTCATTTGTTTAGTTACCTCAATGGCAGAGCCTCCGGAAGTTGCTACTACTGTGGTTGGCAAAGTTGTTCTGGTGGGAGAAGAGAAAACAGAAGGCGAGGTTGAAGAGGACAGGAGAGAAGACACAACATTGGATGAAGAATCAACACCCTTCTTCAAGCCATCAGGATCAAACTCAGGCAGGACTCTAGTAACTGTCCTCTTGATCTGCCCTGAAGATGTCTTGATCGTTTTAATGCGAACTTTGGGAATGACTGGTATGGATCCTGCTGGAGAAGCAGGAGACTCTTTGCTGCTGCTTTCACTTGTGACACTGCTAGGACTATCAGGTTGTTTTGTGAGCACCTTCCTGCTAAGCTCCAGAGCAGATTCCTGGTCTAATGATTTTTCTGTAACTTTTGGAATCTCTTTAGCCTCTCTGGGTGAATCTCGAGTGGTAGCAATAGATTCTGGAGGCACTGTTTCTGTGCTAGCTTTCTTTGCACTCAGTGCTGCAATTGCAGCAATGCAGGATGAGAGCTTTGCAGACGATTTGGCCTTTGCTTGGGAAAAGTTGGTCACACTCAACTCAATAACTGGTTCTGCAGGTTCTTTTGCTTCTTGAGATGTGGAGGTTTCTTTTGAGTGTTCCTCTTGGTTTTTTCTTGGTTTTTGAGAGTCATGCAGTTTTGCATGTCCCACTTTTCCATTGGTGCTGCCATTCTCAACTTTCAACTTATGGCAGTTGCCATTTGTTCTCGGCCTAGATGCACAATCTGCTTTTATGTGTTGAGAACGAGGCTCTTCCATCTTTGCACCAGAACCAGTTAAAGGGTTTGGCCTAAATGATAAATGACTTTGTTTGTCTGCAGGGTCATCTACTTCAATCTTGTCATCATCATCAAACTCCTCTGCACTAGAGATTGGACTAAACTGGTTGAATGTGGAGATATTTCCTGCCATCCCATGGATTTCACCTTTTTGAAGCTTGTCACTTTCTTTTCTGTATCTGTTGTTGGGCGACACAGGCAAGAATCCATTGCGCAATCCATTTCCGACAGTTGGATGAACATCCTTCTCTGAAAGATGTTCAGAGGCATCAAAATTTCGAACGTTCTTAACAATAACACTAACCCCGACATCTGGACCAGAGGTGGCATGGGAGTCCTCTTCATGGTGGGCATTGTGTTTGAGCTGTCCCTCATGATCATCATGGCCAGACTCAATGGCAGCCTTGGGGTCAACCATATCAGGAATATCAAAGGCCGCAAGCAGATCATCAAAGTCTGGGGTTTTCATGTCGCCCATGGTCTCATGAAAATGAGCTTAACACCTTTGAGAAACAAGAGAAACAACATTCCATTTTATACTATGTATTAATTATAGACATGAGTAAGCAACGTCTATATAAATTCTATAAGGATATTAGTACCAATTAAATGGAATAAAATGATAAACCAAACATTGTAATTTCTTGCACTAAACATGTTTTCAGGAAACTGGCATCAAACTAAATGCAGAAACCCTTTATAGGGACTATATCATTATTATTATTATTATTGCTGTTTAAAATATTTTCAGACAGGCAGATTTTAATTAAAATTCACATGAACACGAACAAACCATTATGCAGCTTATATAATATCTGACTAATATATAATAATATCTGATTTTTTTATCCTCACAACTTAAAGTTTTGACCTTCTAATTACATTTGGTCATAATTCACCCTACATAAGATAAAAGCTATTGAGAGATACAGTGCATCAAGAAAGTATTCATAGCGCTTCACTTTTTTTCCACATTTTTTTGTGTCATAGCCTTATTCCAAAATGGATTACATTCATTTCCTCTAAATTCTACACACAATACCCCATAATGACATTGTAAACATTTTTTTGTTGTTGTTGAAATGGTTGCAAATTTATTAAAAATAAAAAACCTGAAAAATCACATGTACATAAGTATTTACAGCTTTTGACATGAAGCTCTAAATTAAGCTCAGGTACATTCTGTTTCTACTGATCATTCTTGAGATGTTTCCACAGCCTAATTGAAGTTCACCTGTGGTAAATTCAGTTGATTGGACACTATTTGAAAAAGCATACACCTGTCTATATAAGGTCCCAGGGTTGATAGTGCATGTCAAAGCACAAACCAAGCATGAAGACAAAGGAATTGTCTGAAGACCTCTGAGACAGAATTGTTGAGGCACAAGGCCGGGGAAGGTTACAGAAAAATTTCTGCTGCTCTGAAAGTTCCAACGAGCACGGTGTCCTCCATCATCTGTAAGTGGAAGATGTTTGGAACCACTAGGACTATTCCTAGAGCTGGCCTGCCATCTAAGGTGAGTGATCAGGGGTGAAGGGCCTTAGTCAGGGAGGTGATCAATAACTTGATGGTCAATCTGTCTGAGCTCCAGCATTCTTCTGTGGGGAGAGGAGAACCTTACAGAAGAACAACCATCTGTGCAGCAATCCACCAACCAGGACTGTATAATAGAGTGGCCAGACGGAAAAAACTCCCCGCCTGGAATTTGCCAAAAGGCATCTGAAGGACTGTCAGACCATGAGAAAAAAAATTCTCTGGTCTGATGAGACTAAAATTTTACACTTGCCAGGCGTTACTTTTGGAGAAAACCAGACACTGCTCATCACCAGGCTAATACCATCCCTACAGTTAAGCACGGTGGTGGCAGCATCATGCTTTGGGGATGTTTTTCAGATGAATGAAGCAATGTACAGAGACATCCTGAATGCAAACCAAAGCACACCGCCAAAAGATTAACAGAGCGGCTTCACAACCACTCAGTAAATGGCCTTGAGTGGCCCAGCCAGAGCCCAGACCTAAATCCTACTGAACATCTCTGGAGAGATCTGAAAATGGCTGTACACTGTTGCTTTCCATCCAACCTGATAGAGCTTGAGAGGTACTGCAAAGAGGAATGGGTAAAAATTCCCAAAGACAAGTGTGCCAAGCTTGTGGCATCATATTTAAAAAGACTTGAGGCTGTAATTGCTGCCAAAGGTGCATCATCAAAGTATTGCACAAAGGCCGTGAATACTTCTGTACATGTGATTTTTCAGGTTTTTTATTTTTAATAAATTTGCAACAATTTAAAAAAATTACATTGTCATTAAGGGGTATTGTGTGTAGAATTTAGAGGAAATAAATTAATTTAATCCATTTTGGAATAAGACTATGAGATAAAAAAATGTTGAAAAAGCGAAGCGCTATGAAAACTTTCTGGTTGCTGTCTGTAAATGACTTATCCATGCTATAAAAAAAACTCTGTCTGAATAGCATCTCTAACTGAAATAGAGAATTCACAGAATTCAGTCAGTTAAATGGATGTAAATTTGTTAAATGCATGTAAATAAGAATGCAAATGTGAATTATTTACACACGGTTTAATGTAAAACAGTTTTAGTCACCTAAAAAAATAAACAAGAACAAAACCACTAAATGGCTTAAAAACAACAGAATATAATGTACACAATAACAGAAACAGAAAGCTCAATTTAATGATTTTTATTTTATATTTTTAAATATTTGATTCTTGAAGGTTAATCCTAAAAAATTAGCACTAACTACAAACACGTCCACATTCAAACATCACTATTTTGCCATATTAAAAGAGAAGAAACTATAATAATAATACAATTAATTCACAAGGAATTTGAAGGAAATGAAAAGCGAGTTGTGCTAGTAAGGTTAGCCAGCCCCCATTACTCCTGCTACTCCTGCTTTTATTGAAATGGAAGAGAGCACTGCAGCCCTGCCTCCATTACAGCTAATAACATCTGCACGCACAGGCTACGCAGGGCCAAGACGGCCTTCCCCACACACAATAAACCCAATGTGGTGAGGCATGTAAGCAGAGAAGGAGCAGCAAACAAAAGCCAGTGAAAAAATGAGCAAAATAACACAAGGACAAGAGGATTTTAATGAAAGACGTTAAGCTGATGAAGCCAGCATGAGGCCTAAACACATTTACAGCCAAATCAGAGTGTCATTCAGAGGAAAAGCTTGGGTTCCTATTGGAGGCCTGTAAACAATACATAAACACCATACAAATACACACGCATGCAAACATATAGAAGTGGAAACATGCAAATGAGCCACTCCTCACCCTCAGCGTTCCGACAACTACAGCAAACAATCTTGTTTTCCTTCCCTTTTTCCTTCCTTCCTTCCTCACACCACCTCCACAACAAAACACCACCACCACCCTCCTCCTCCTTTCTCCCTGACAGCAAATGATTTTTGCACTAGGCAGGGCCCATCAAGAAACAGACCCCCAGAAGGTAAGATTGTTCTGTATGCTAACCACCATGAATAAAAGCACATAGTGAACCCACGGCCTGCATATCTGCTCGGTTTTCATGGCTGCATCGTGGCCTTGAAGTGGATAACCCTCTTGAGGTGTTTCTCTAACATCCCTGCTTGGGTCTGAATCACTCCTGAAGACCCCAGTGCCATTCTGGCTGCCATGAAGCAGTCGGCTATCTGCCTGTAGCACAGTGACTGTATTGTTTCTGAGCCTCCACGTCTGCCTCAAACCGGTTTCAGCCGGTTCCGGTCACCCTGCATAATGTGTGTGCTGCAGTGCAGCCACACATGAGACACAGGAGCAGCCCATGTCTTCATCAAATCTTCAATATTCCTGCAAAACATCCCTGCTTTGAGTGTGTGTTAATACTATCGAAGAGGTTTGTGTTCAGAATGCGTGTGGAATTTACTCTGCCGAGCTGAATCAAAAGCTAGGCCTGAGAAACACACACTATGGAGGACGTTGATGAAAAATACATGCACAATGGAGGCTTAGAGCTGGTTTATATGGATGGATGGATGGATGGACGTATGAATGGATGACAGAAGGAAACATAAAAAGCCAAACAGCAGATGCACATTCCAGAGGAAAACCACAAGCACTGTGTAAAACCAAAACCCGTAAGATGAGCGCCGTTTCCTGACAGAAGAAAACAAGACACAGAGATAGCAAGGAGAATTTAAACAGGCTCGGTACCTGACCTCTTTTTGATTGTGCCTCTCGCTTTTACCCCATTCTGCAGCACTGGACTGCTTCTACTTCCTTCTCTGCCTCCCCTCTCCCTCTCTCTCTCTCCCTCACTCTCACACTCTCCATGGTCCCTGTTCCTCTCTTCTAGCCAGTGTCCCTGCTTCCTCCTCTCCTTTTTTCATCCCCCAGAAAAGCAGTGGGAAACACGGATCTCGGTCAAGTCAAATCAGCTGCTCGACCCCTAATCCTCCAGCCCTGGGCAACCATGTCCAGTCTCTGCCAAACAAGAGAGAAAACAAAGGCCATGACATGTATAAACACAGAGAGAGAGATACAGACGAACAGGGGAAAAAGTAGGCTCTCGCCCTACCCCGCTTCTCTTCGGCCCTAATACCGGGAATCTTCGTGGAAAGGTTTATGCAAGACGTCAGTCCAGCCAGGCCCCATTCTGTATGAGTGTGCTTTTTTTCCCTTCACTATGAGCCTGCTGGTTCAGTTCTATAGGTCACTCTCTCCTCTGCAGATGCACGGCGGCGCAGGGAGGAAGGGGGCAGTGTTCTGACAAGCAGCCCTGGCCTTTTGTCTTTGCGTGCACTTGCGGGGGGAGGGGACGCGGGATGAGACTCTGACTCGAGACTGCAACCAGCTGCTGCAGCCAAAAAAGACAAACAGACCCCAAAGAGAGAGAAAGAGAGAGAGAGAGAGAAATGAGAGGAACAGGCAGAGAAGAGGTGGAGGGGGGGAAAATGAAGGAATATGAGACGGGACTGGAAGGAGGGGTGTAAGGGAAGCTCCTCTGGAATGACGTCTGCAAGCAGGAAGAACAAAGGCCCTTGATGGCGCTGGCTGGATTGACGGTAGAATGCAATCATGTGGATTCGGCCTGATTTCTTAGCAAAATCGATTTCTTATGCAAGAGAGCTAAGAGGCGAATTAAATTTAGGAGCAAAAACTGACATATTGCATAAAACGTTTGCGAATAAAGTAACGTTTCATTTTTAAATGAGTCAAAGAGAAAAAAATCGTCACTTTCTGATAAACTCGTGGGACATTTCAGATGCTTTACAATTTGGTTGTCCTCTGGTTTGTCTGTTAATGTCGTCCCATTGCACCCATTTTTATAATCACATGATCTGTTAAAACAAAATCTATTTTTTGATGTTCATCCAGTAATTTATGCAGTAAATAATTAATAATAATAATAATAATAATACCTTTCATTTATATAGCGCTTTTCTGGACACTCAAAGCACTTTACACATTGTAAACATTACACCAGTGTGCAGCATCCACCTGGATGACGCGATGGCAGACTTATTGCACCAGACTGCACACCAGCTGATTGGTGAAGAGAAGACAGAATGATGAAGCCAATTTTGATATGGGGATGGTTAGGAGGCCATGATGGACAGAGGAAAGTGGGTAAATTTGGCCAGGATGCCGGGAGATCCCACTCTTTTTCGAAGGACATAATGGGATTTTTAACGACCACACCACAACCTCACTTTAATGTCTCACTGAGCAGTATAGAGTTCCCTTCACTATACTGGGGCATTAGGACCCACAAAGACCACAGGTTGAGCGCCCCCTGCTAATCTCACTAACACCACTTCCGGCAGCAACTTAGCTTTCTCATGAGGTCTCCCATCCAGGTACTGACCGGGCGCAGCCCTTCTTAGCTTTAGTGGGCGACCATTTGAGAGTTGCAGAGAGCTAGCTGCCGGTTATAGACAAATATGTTTCTCTCAAAGATTATTTGCAGATAAAAAGTTTATCATAATCTGTTGTGTGCATATGCTTGCACATTTTCAGCATTTCAATTAAGTTTTATTTTATGCAATGTTCCAAAATGCCTATAAAAAAAATAGCTGGATGGAATCATACCTAGTGTGACGTAACTTACAATAAACATTCAATTCAGTGATTGTGTTTTTTTCAGTATCATGCCCTAATGGCACCCTTTCACCATGCTGCAAATATAAACATAAGCACTAATGTTCTTGTCTCTGCCACTCAAGAGAGCTAAGAAACAGTTTAAATTTATGCGCAAAAACTGATTTGCATAAAATGTTTGCGAATAAATCACCGTTTACATTTAAATGAGTCAAAGAAAACAAAATCGTTACTAAGGATGTTTTACAATTTGGCCATCCTCTAGTTTGTCTATTAATGCCGTCCCATTGCACCCATTTTTGTAATCGCATGATCTGTTAAAACAAAATCAAAACAAAATTTTCTGATGCTCATCCAGGAATTTGTTCGGAAATTGTGTTATCAACATCATTCATGCTCATTTTTTTCATATTGGATAAATAGTTCATTCTAATCTGTTCTGCGCATATGTTTTATACGCACATTATCAGCATTTGTATGCAATATTTCAAAATGTACATAAAAATAGGTGGATGGAAACATTGCTTGTATGACATGACTTACAATTAGGGCTGGGCTATATGGCAAAAATGCAATCTCGATAATTATTTTCCATATTAAACGATAACGATATATATTTCAATATAAGTTGTTAATGCTTTCATGTTTAAAAGAGAATACCCCTACAATGACTTATGCCACAAAAAATAGAGGGTCCATTAAATGGCATAACATTTTTGTCTGATAATTTGCGGCGGTGACAATATGGTACATCTCTAATATCAACTCACTTTAAGATTACCATTGTTACACATTTCTGCTGTGTGATTGGCTCTTAGATCAATATAGAGTAAAAGTCCAGAGCTTATCATTGTTACTAACATAAATTTTATCACAATACGATAAAATATTGTTTATCGACCCAACCCTACTTACAATAATCATTCAATGCGGTGATTGTGTTTTTTTTACACCTTCATGCCCTAATGGCACCTTTTCACCATGCTGCAAATATAAAAATAAGCACTTATGTTCTCATCTCTGCCACCTATCAGTACAAAGCAGATTCCGTTTTACTATATTTGTCACTATGAATTTCTGTTTGCAACCTCATGTAGCTCCCCAATTCGATTTATAATCTCATGAATATTCAATGAGATGTTATCCTTTGGGAATAGTGTGCATTAGTGCCGCCCACATGTTCAGTAGAGCTTTTCCTATCCTTTGCTATTCTTTCATGATATAATTATTCTTTTTTTAAGACAAAGGTACATACAGTAACTGTGTGATTTAGAGCTTTGTTGGTCATATGTTGTTGGTTTTGTGTCTATATAAATATATAAATTCATAAACAAGCATATGTGTATAAATATTTGAGCATTTTAGAGCATTGGGAGACTGATTGGGAGAATGCGCTACCTTTGTTCTGCTTCATTTGCAAGGATGGGGCTAAAATCTTTTGCCACACTTTGCTTAAACCTATTGGTGGATTTTTTTCAAAGGCATCAAGAATAGTGAAGTTTTTGTTGAACCAATTTGAATATATGTCTTCAACATACTGTGAGCATTTACATGTGACTAACATAACTAGTCAGTTTTTAAAGGTTATAGTTAAAATTCAATAGTCTGTATGCAGTAAATAAATGAGGATTTTATTGCCGAAACCCTACTGTTGCACTTTATTGACTGGAAAATGGGACAAAACATACCAATGTACAGCTGAACTAAACATAATATTATATTATATTATATTATATTATATTATATTATAATATGAACACTAAAGTAAGCAGAGATTTTTGTATCATGTTGACTTGAAATTTCATTATTAAAAATATTTAATGGGCACCTATTTTACCCCTTTTTCAAGATTTAAGATATGTCTTTAGTTTCTCCATAATGTGTCTGAGAAGGTAATATTGTGTTTCAGCTCAAAACACCCATCAGATTATGTATTGTGCCTTTCAGAACATTGGAATTTTCTGCTCTGAATAATATGTAGCTGTTTTTGTTGCCTGTGCCTTTAATGCTAGTTCTCCCCGCCAATCGTTCACATGTGCCTGTCAGAATGAGCCTCAATCTCTGCCTTGGCTGTGTCAGATAAACAGCACAGTGACAGACATGAAAGAAGCAGATCTCACATAACGTTGTAAGAAATACTACAGTATGATTTTTTCCAATGATTATTTGATGTATTTGTTGTGAAGGTAATGAGTCGATGAGGATGATGAGTCACACACAAAGTTCATGCACACACACACGGCACCCCAGTTTAACTTTGCACTGTTTTCGCACGCAAATGTGACAGGATACACGTTAATATACACTGCTGTATGGAGATCTGTTTTGTTAATGTACAAAATAAACCAGATTAAACGTCTACAAACCGAGATTGAAGCGTCTTCTTTTATAATTATACTGACATATAATTATAATTATACTGTGGTGATGAAATAAAGATGGTAAAATCACTGCAATTCATTAACATGCACTGTTTTAATAATGTTTCGAACTTGTAAAACTCATTCTTGATTACATTTGATGATGGTTGATGATCACAGAGAGCTGAACAGATCTTTTAATCCCAGTTGCTTTGCTCATGTACTGTCTTGTTGATATGATTATACACGTTACTACAGAGACATGTTAATAGGGAGCTGTCAATCAATTTGGTGGACGGTGAAAACTGCACTCTTACATCACGTTGTGGTCGGCCTCAAAACGGAAGGGATTTGGATCCTATTTTAATGTCAGGAAATTTAATAAAGTAGACTTATTGTGTTTATATCACTCCAATATGACTGTGGACACACTACACCTACACACAGTTCTATCCACACAGCTTACAAAAGATGATTTTCATCATAGGAGATTAATTGTTTATTGAGGCCTATTTGGGCATTCTTTAGCCCTGACCCTTGATCATTGACAGTGCAGTGAGTGTTTTCTTCTGATGGGTTCTGCAATGAGAACAACATGAACGCATGTATCCACTTCACAGCACACCAACTAATATAAAGTACAACAAACCCCCCTTTTCAAACCAGAAAACCATGACAGTAGCAATGTTACGGTCAATAAAAAAATGCATATATGTTCTCCACTACTCTACATAATCAGCAGCCATACTGGCCTGGGTTCCACAATGACAGCTATCAGAAGAATCCATTCAAAGAGCAAAGAACAGACGCTGACCTACCTGTGGGTTATTGTAAGAAAGGGCTGTGTCTCAATTAAAAGCTTGGATGTGAGGGCTCTTCGTCTCAGCAGGGCAGCAAAGGCAAATATCAAAGACAAGAAGGCCAGCCATGATTCTTGCTGCTGCCATGCACAGCAAAACCTAGAATGACAGACATCATCAATATATGCATGAAAGAGGGACTCAGGAATACATTGCAGAGCTGTCAAAACGTTGCTCATGGGTGCAAGCAGCCCTCATGACAGCACAGCTCTAAAATGATCGAGAATGCATGGCTTTCCCCCAGCCAAATACAGCAGCAATAAGACATGGAGAGGCTGCTGCTGCTGCCCACCCCCCGAGATGTGCGCAGTCACATGACCGCCTGTGTCCTATTGATTCCTCATATCGTGTCATAATACTGCCAGATGCAACGTTGTTACATCCGAGCTTCAAAACGTTCCCGAATTCTCACAAACTGAGCGTGCATTTTTTATAAGGTTTTAAAAGGACGCGTGTTTTGCTTTACTTCTCAGCTCCGATGAGTTCAGTCAAAGCTTGCTCCTGCACATCTTTAAAACCGTTTCAGGATTTGACTAATATATGCGTTTTATCAGGTATTTCACATTTAAGTGCTTTAACATCATGGGTTGTGATTTATTTAGTTTTTGGTGACCGCCAATCCAACAAGCACTTGCGATATACACACAAGAATCCGAACAGCCTAAAATGATTCAGTGAATCTTTTGCGTCATGACGCAAATGCATTATACAATACGCTACGTGCTGCCGCAAATCACATTACACGCTCGAAAATAAATTTCACTCAGACAATATGGTTACAAACCATATTTGTTATAGTTCTCTTTCTGTTGTAAATCCTAAATTACATTTAGAAGGCGCAGGGGTGCCAAAACTCGGTCCTGGAGGGCCACTGTCCTGCTTATTTTAGCTCCAACCCCAATCAAACACACCTGAACCAGCTAATCAAGCTCTTTCTATGTATAAAAGAAACTTTCAGGCAGGTTTGTTGAAGGAATTTAAAGCTAAACTATGCAGGACACCAGCTCTCCAGGACCGAGTTTGGGCACCCCAACTGATAAAAAAATTTAACAAACACATTTGTATTATTTTTCAGAAGCAAAATAAAATCACTCCTAGAGGTAAATTTTAGTTATTAAGGAAAAAAGCCAGGTTAACTCCCTTCAAATACTCTATTAACAATAAAATTGTTATGTGGATAGCGCTGTGGCCTCACAGCAAGAAGGTCGCTGGTTCGAGCCTCTGCTGGGTTCGTTGGCATTTCTATGTAGAGTTTGCATGTTCTCCCCGTGTTCGTGTGGGTTTCCTCCGGGTGCTCCGGTCTCCCCCACAGTCCAAAGACATGTGCTACAGGCAAATAAGGCTAGCTGTATGGGTGTTTCCCTGTGATGGGTTGAAGCTGGAAGGGTATCCATTGCATAAAACATATGCTGGATAAGTTGGCAGTTCATTCCACTGTGGTGACCCCTGATTAATAAAGGGACTAAGCTGAAAAAGAAAACAAATGAATAAATGAACACGATACACAAATTACCCAGAAAAATATTTGGCATCAAAGTACATTGAAATGGAGAACATCTGTAGTTTCTGTAAAGCAGATAAAGAGAGTCATTTATTTTTTGAAGGCAACATTGTAAACAGTTTCTAGAAGGATCTAGAAAAATTAATTTTTAACATGACAAAAATTAGTTTTACATTAAAATATATTATTTTTTATTATGAAAACAAATCCATCAAAAGTCTTGAATATATTGAGTTGTTAATCTCTTTATTTTATTGCCAAGATTTCACATACACAAACAGACATTTGCTTAGTCATCTCCCATATTAACAGCTTTTTTGTAACAATTTTGATTTCTCTACTGTGAAATTGTTGAAAAGCAAAAAAATCTGGGATATGTATTCCCCTGTTAATTCTTAAAATCATTGGATGTGGAAATGCTGTGCGTTATGCTCTTTGGATTGTTGTATCTATTTATTTATTTATTTATTTTAAATATTAGGTTTTTCTGTTTGTATTTTAATTGTGTTGTTGTGTGTATATTCCTGATGGTTTGTGCAATTAAAAAAATTCACTCACAAAGGGCTTTATAAAGTTTTTATAAACTTGTTTCATGTGTCCCTGGGTAATTTGATGCAGAAAATCATTTTTAATAAATATTTTTTCATCCATAAAAAGGCCTAATTCAGAACCTTACTCATAGAAGACTAACTTTTTTAAAAAAAAGAAGTCTTATTTCTTATTTTATGACCTATGTATTGTTTGTGTTTGGACTGTGTGAGTTTTGATAAACATTAATGGTGATGAATAAAATGATAAAACTGTGTTTTGTAGGCCCATATATGTGTATTGGTCCTTACGAAAACTATGGTTTTACTAAAAAAAGTAAAACAAAATAATGTTTTTGCATTTAAATATTTACCAAGCTAAAAATTAAAATTTACTCACCTCAAGTACTTCAAATCTGAGAGTTTCATGTACAATACATAATATAATATAATATAATATAATATAATATAATATAATATAATATAATATAATATAAATGGATGTTTCGATATCATTTTGACTTGAATTTTTATTGAGCGATAGATTGTCTGGGAAATTGTTGCAATAAGCGATATTATTGTCATTTTGAGATCATTTATGCCACTGATTATATTAAGATTATATAACAGCATAATAATGCAAATAGATATTATATATAAATATTTTAATTTTGTAATTTGGTGTTAAAAGGGTAAATGCCCTATTATATTTACTATTGAATGTCTTCAAGTGCTTCAAATCTGTACAAGTTACATAATTCCCTATATATATATACACACACACACACACACATATATATATATATATATATATGGGAGTCACCCCTCATTGACAAAGGTCCACAATTTGTCCTATACATGAGACATTTGTCCCTTTTTAACAGCTATGCCATCATAACTAGTGAACATAACCCCCTGGAAAAGGTTTTAAGACCATGTGGAATCCTCTGTCGGCTGTTGCTGCAGTGTGACTTCAGCTAATCACTTTTGGCCTATGCTAACAATTATTTATCATAAGTCCAACATCCAGCTGTGCACGAAAACCTACAATCTGATGTAAGTGAAGTCATCTTTCGCTACAGTTTTGTTTTTAAATGGAGAAAATATTTTACAAGTAACTTTTATTTAAAATCTTTGAAAAAAACATGACCATTAAAAAGCTGTGAAGCACCAAAATCGACCAATGTTAAAATGAATCTAAATACTATTTTGACTATTGTTGTTTTCCATGGATTTTCAAATGTACTTTTTTGGTTATGATGACCATCCGACAATCTATTTCAGACAATATAATGCTTTTAATCTCATTATTAAATAATAGCCTAGATGAGGCCAATAACTGCAAAAGGTCCACTTTTTGAGAAAAAAAAAAATAACCCACCCCTTTCACTAGGCTGGCTATGGGCCTGTCTATATAACATGATGAAACGTGTTTTGTAGTTAAACCGTGCCAAAATGTCTTTTGCTACACTATATATCTGGATACAGAATTTAAAACATATTGCCTACAACATGATTAAGTAATTTAACATTACCAAAATATTAGAAACTAAGCCCTTAAATTGGGTGTGTCCGACTTTGTTGTTGTTGCTGGTTCTACAGAGCGCGACTCAAGAAACTCTCAGACGACCACTGCAGTCTGCATGAACCGGATCAATTGATTCATTGCAAAGATCCGACTCATAAGAACGATTCTCTCACCGCACTAGAAACCCATCGGCTCAGATCAAACATCATTAGTCTCCCTGGTAAACCAAGTACATGCAACGTATTTACGCTTGTATATATTAAATTGTCGCTATTATGTTTAATTACATTCGACGATTTTTATGGAAAGTTTGTGGATTGTTGGTTTTGTGCCACACTTACCCATGAATCACTGCGGCGATGCCTAAACGCTCCTTACAATCATCACGGACGGACTTTATACTCAAACATCTAATTAAATTAGCATTTGTTTCAGCATGAAGATGTTGACATGTTTCGAAACATCATGAGTTATCGTATACTCGTGTATGTGTGTGTGAATGGCAGCCACCCAGTTGAGCTCCTCATAGGACCAAACCTGATTCCCAGAAGTCTTTGCTGCACACATCAGCTGTGTACTGGGATATAAACAGGAGTAGTAGGACATGTTGTAAACAATCGAAATATATGATCATATATGTTCATACGCTGGTATAAATACATTGTTTGTAAAAACAATTATGCTGAAGAATGACATTTTTCTATGGATTCAGAATTATTAGCCCTCCTGAGGTTTTTCTTTTTCCAACATTTTCCCAAATTATGTTAAACAGAAGGAAATTTCCACAGTATTTCCTATTATATTTTTTTCTTCTGGAGAAAGTCTTACTTGTAATATATATATATATATATATATATATATATATATATATATACATACATACATACATACATACATACAACAGTATTCTTTCTAAATGTGTGACAAAATGTAAGGATTTAACCTAAATTAACCTGGATGTGTAATATAAGGAGTTAGTTCACCCAAAATTTTAAATGTACTAAATACTGACCCTCAAGTGTTTCCAACCCTTTATAAGTTTATTATTCCTGATGGACACAAAAAGAGATATTTAGAAAAAGTGGAAAACCTCTAACAACTGATCTTAAAATCATAAAAGTCTGACAGTAGTAAAGGATGAATAAATAATGAGATAATTTTCAAATATGGGTGAACTTCCCAGAAAATGAATAAGGATAAGGACAGAGTTACATTTTCATTTCTGACCTTCTTGTATTTAATCTGATCTAAAATAATAATAATAATAATAATTAATTAATTCATTCATTTATTTATTTTTCTTCAGCTCAGTCCCTTTCTTCATCAGGGGTTGCCACAGTGGAATGAACCACCAACTTATCCAGCATATGTTTTACACAGTGGATACCCTTCCAGCTATAACCCAATACTGGGAAACATCCACACTCTTTCACAAACATACACTACGGACAATTTAGCTTATTCAATTCACCTTTTGCACATGTCTTTGGACTGTGGGGGAAACCGGAGCACTCGGAGGAAACCCACGCGAACATGAGAGAACATGCAAACTTAATACATAATAATAATAATAATAATAATAATTGGCCTGAGGCTATTTATTCTCTATTTATCCTCATTCTTAAGGCTTAACAATTATTAATTGCTATTATGAATGCATCCAATAGCAGAATAGGCTACAACAATTTATGCAATAAGTTGAATAAACTGAAGGATTGTCCTTAATGCAAAATTGACTCTGATACAGTTATACACAACTTTTGTTAAATCAAGATGTAGGCTACTTACCTGAGAGTGGCGTCAGATGTTAAGTCTCGGTTTCTAATTTAACTTGCATAAAACAAGAAAAGAAATCTGCTGATTGGATTTTCTGTATGTATTAAGATGATATTTCTCTCAACCCTGGCAGATACGTTACTTTTTTATAACATTTTCAGTAAACAAAATGTAACACCTTGATTAATTTTGCTTCTCAAGCAACTGCATCTTAATGTAAGAATGTTTAGATCTCTGTATTGGAAAGTAAGATAAAAATACCACGTATAAAAATCATTTTAACAACAACATAATTTCATGAACTGACACTAGCTTGCCAATTGTGGTTGGTAACCTTCAAATTATACCAAACACCTCCATCTAGTGGTGAAAGCGAGCTTACGTTTAATACGAGGAATTACATTTCATCTTAGTTGCATGTTAATTCGGTTAATTAAACACATTCTGCAGTTCTGTCTAAAATAATTAGCTGCTTATTTATTGGTCATTCAATACAAAATCACGGTAAATCCTTAATGTCCTTGAACTTGCAA